TATATTTGTGCAATCTACTACTTCTTTATCTTGAAGCTCGGCCAATTCAACAATAACATATTTAATTAGACAAAAGTACCAAACTCAAAAAAATCTGTAGAGTAACAAACTCATAATAACAACATGTATCGAACTCACAGATTCACAATCAAAATCACACAAACAAATGAAATCACCGATTCAACAGACAAATTACAAGAATGAAAATAAAAATATGAAATTGCAAACTTACAAGAAAGAACCTAGGTGACTGATTATATTACCTGAAGGGATCGACCGGAGGTGTGAGCGTCAGAGGGGAGTGATACCGGAGGTATGAGCGACTAATAGGAGCGACTGGTAGGAGCGAAACCGGATTTGTGAGAGACTGAGGATAGCGACGGTGTGGAGGTGTGAGTGACTGAGTTGAGTAATAGTTGATGGTGATCCGAGACGACGATGGCGATTATGTAGGAAGCATAGGAGCAACGTGAGAGACAAAAAGTAAAGTGCAAGTGTGAGGCGAAAGAGAACGCGGTGATTTTGCTTCGGTGGTGGTGTTCTTAAGTAGAGACTAATGTGTCGATCTGGATGAGGACCATTAGGGGGTGTTTGTTTTATCTTTTAAAACATCTTTTAGCTTTTAGGAAAAGATAAAAATCTAAAAGATGTTTGGTAAAATCAATAGATCTTGTAAAAGCTACTTTTATATATACAGAAAATGAACTTTTTTGAAAAGTTAGGTAAACCTGACTATTTGCAACTTTTCCTAAAATGACTTTTGCCCTCTCAAAAGCTAAAAAAACACCCCTTATTCTATGTGTTGGAAAGAATTAGAGACGAGAAGATGGAATTAGGGTTAGTGGGGTAGGGTTTTAATAGGTAAATAAAAACCATCAATTGTTAATTTTGGATATTAATTAATGCACATGTATAATATTACTAATGTACCCTTATTAATTTAATTAATGATTAAATTATTCAAAAATTTTCATTGGTCCATACATGCACACAATTATTGTAAGAAACATTTGAACCTTTCTATATATATATATATATATATATATATATATATATATATATATATATATATATATATATATATAAGCATTTAACCTCAAATGCTGAATTTTAAGAGATATATAACTCTTAAAGCGTAATATATAATAACTTTATGCATTTACTTATTCGGTCAACAAAATGTAAAAGTAAAATAAGATAGTAACATCTCCTATTATATCTCACTCTTATCCCCTTTAACAAATGAACTCATATGCCCCGAACTTCAATCGTTCCTTAGCTTCAATCTAAGCCAATTGAATCAGTCAAACATTAAATATATGATTTATATTGCATCCATTCTCTCATTTCCTTCACAATATATTGGCGAGCTAAGTTTTTTCTTCACAATTTCATGATTTCATTGTTTTTCTTCACGATTTTAGTTGGAAGCTCAAGAAAAAAGGTACGTAAAACCTAATTTGATGTTAATCTCTACGGATTATGTTGTATTATAGTTTGATATACCTATTTGTTACCTAATTATTTGTGATCTGATTTCATCATAAAGGTATGTGTGGGTTGAAACAACCGAGTCTTCCGAGTAACAAAACACTACACCACCACCGCTGCCACCCTCCGTTGCATATGTATGTTGTTATCACCGTCATCACATATGCTGCTTGAACTCATGATATCTAATAAGCTTTTTATTTATTTACTGTAGGATGAATATGATGATAGAAGATTGAACAAGTTAATTTTTAATATGTTAGTTTGTGGTATATTAAAATCACGACGAATCCACTTTTATGAGTTGTAATTAGCTATAGGTTTAATTTGGGGAATCCTTTTCTCAGCCGCTAGCACCATCAATACCCACCTCTCACCAGGCTTTTTGCCCTTTTGGCTATGATAGGGAGGTGGAATATTTTTATGGGGATCTGAAGGATTGGAGGAAGAATCATTGTCTCTCCAATTTAATTCAGCATTACAAAATTACTGGTATTCAAACCAAGAAATCTTTCTCTTTCTCCTCTGCTATTTCTTTTTTACAAAACTATGACATGCTTATGCCCTATCCCTGTATCTTATACTCGATTCTATAGAAAATTTGGGATTGTGTAGGAAACCCTAGGAGACGCTTCTTAATCAAAAAGCTACAATGGATACTACTATCAATTCTGGATGCAGAGTCCAAAAGAGTAATGTATTGGTGGAGAAAGGTATAGTGATTCATAATATTACCTGGTGCTTTCAAGCTTGAGTTTACTTTTTCCATGAGTTATTTTTTTGCAGGAGTATCTGATGCTTTATGGAAGAAATTTCTCAAGACACTAATGTTTTCAAAAGAAATATCTCAGGAGTCATGATACCAATGGAGGAAGTTATACTTATTTTTACATGAGTCATTCCTAAATCCCTTTTTAAGCATTACCTAAAACCCAACACTTTTAATGGTTAAATGACTATTTTGTTAAAAAAAATTATATTTTTATCAAGAATTATGGTTATTATTAACCATGGATCACCGAGGCACAACAACAAACACAAACGTATTTTCCTATGTGTTTTTTTTTTTTTCTATTTAATCATTAATGATATATGTTTCTTTTTTAATTCACTTTCTCAATAAATAAACATAATCATCTTCATATACTTTTTAGAGGATACCTGACAAAATAACCTCCAAAGGTAGTCTCTACGTATCTTCAAAAGTCATATAATGCTTGTTCCTGATGTGGGAACAGGGTGTTTCTGTCTGTGTTGTGAATAATACAGTAAAATTTCATTTATAAGAAATTAGAGCACCACCTGATAATTAATGGCTTTAAAGTGAAATTCACATTTTCTTTATTTAATAATTTTTTTACGATTACAAGGCTCTATTCTAAGTCCTTTTCTAATTATTATTAAATAAAGCAAAGGCATTTATCGATCTATTTAAGATTTGAGCTGCTTAATTATCGATGATGGATTGATACATAGTAATTGCTTTCTTTCATTCATTTTAAGCATATTCTTTTTTTTTTTCATATTTTTATTTTAGTTGGCTGATATTTTTATGGTTGTCTTTGTCTTTGTAATCATATTTCCTCATATTATACGAACAATAATATCTTCTCACGGGTCAATGCTTCATTGGTTTAACTTTCCTCTTTATAATGTTAATGACTAACTATTTTATGTTTGTATAGGTATGATTTCTTTGTAAAATGGAAAATAACGAAAGTTTGATGCTTTACAAAAACATTAAAAAAAAAAGTATATTGGAGTACTGTTTATGTATATATATCTCTAGGGCCGGTCCATTGCTTTTTTATACCCGAGACGAAATGATAAAATAATACCCCTATGTCCAAAAACATTATTTTTATTATTTATATCTACTTAAATAAATAAAAATATACATAAATTAATATAAACATCAACAAAAACTGATGAAACTAATTACAAACCATTAAATCATTAACTGAATTATTATCAAAACACAAAAAATAAAAATAATCATGTACATCTTAAGTACAAAAACCTCAACACAAGCAAACTCCATTTACCATTTTCTTTTATTTGATTCCATTTACCACGTCCTTTTCTTTTATTTGATTCTCAAAACAATGGAATGTGGCTGCTTTACACCTTAATTAATCAGATTAGGAACTATTAACTCATCACAAATTGAGATAGGACCATGTTATTGAAGGTTTTGAGCATTCTAACACTCCTAAGGTATACATGCAACCCTAGAAACCTTGGATCTATGTTTTACTAAGATACATTCAAAATTGATTTTCCAAGGTTCTTAACCTAACTAGCATGGCATGGGAACTTTGAAATATAAAAGCTAGTAGAAAAACATACATTTCTTGTTGCTTGGATTCCTTGAGAACCTTGTGAGCCAGACACCTCAAATGTGATGCCTCAAATGTTTCACACTACACCGAAACTCTTGGAATAACTTTGAGAGAAGTACACTCTCACTCAAAATCGGCAAGTCCTCTTATTCTACACATAGTGTCGATTTTGCTAGCTATGGGGTCCTTTTATAGTTGTGTCACAAGTAAGGTTACAAAATGTAAACCCTGATTGACATGGCTTTTCGTATTCCATGATCCATGGGTTTATAACCTCCATGGACTATCCTTGGAGCATCTTATGGGTTTTAGCCCAATTCAATAAACCATGGATCATTAGCCACTACTAGAAAACAGGCCTTTAAGGACACACAATTTATGACACGCACGAATGTATGATACGCAAAAGTGGGTCTCGTAAAAAAAACGTCATCTCTAATAAAATTTAAAGGATTTCGATTACGCATTTTTACGTGACATAAAATTAGGTGTCGTTTTATAATTTTTTAAATAAAGGCGCGCCTCCTTTAGTATCTATGGGAGGGAGATGGAATTCCTAAAAATTGGAAACGCGCGCTCCTTTTTCTCCAACATTTTTGTTTCCCTCTTTTCCCTAACCCTAAGAATGATACTCTACGCCGCCCCCCTCAAACATCATCGGTGACTCCACCTCTTTTCCATCTCCTCCGCATTCACAACCATCTCTATATATGAATCTCCATAAAACCCTTAAATTCTATATACATGGAAAATGAAGTAGTCATTGATTCTTCCTGCATCGAAGTAGAAATCAGTTGCTTGGATCTTCCTTTTGGCGCAGAATATCTCAGAATCGATTGCTGGGATCTTCCTCACCCTCTGGTTTTGATATCTTCTATTTGTGGCATGTAAATTTTAGTACTCCCTCTTCCCCACCATCTCCTAAATCTCTTGCACACTATCTCAAGATATCAATCGGTTCTTTTGCATTGTGCTTTTAAAAACCCTTCTCACATACTCCTTCTTACGCACTATGCCCTAAAAACTTCTAACATGCTTCATAAAGAAATCTTTCGGTATCACTCTAAGAACCATGGTCGTCATCCCTACCACCACTATTTATGCGGATGGTCTAGCGAGTCCAGGCACGGAGTCATCAGAGTAGCCAACTAAGCCTGATGCCTTCAAATGTTCTTGAATAGGATAGGTTCGTCCCCTTCTGTCCTCCTTTTTTCAATTTCAATTCTATCCACATCGATCGTGAAGTTTTTATTGAATTCTAAAACAAAAGGAAAAACGACGATACTGAAGATACTTGGAGGGAAGCATATGGTGGAGCCTGATATGATTAGGGTTCTTGGTAGATCAGCGTTCCATGACACCTCTTTGACTTCTTTGGGTGACCTAGCTTAACTTCGTGGAGAGGTAAATTACTTGTGCTTTTCTTTCAATTGGGATTTTCACAGTATTTTGGGTCAAAACAATCAAATCTAGAAAAGCTTGATTGATCTAGACAAATGTCAAATTACTTACGTATCATTACCTTGAATAAGCACAAATTCTATGAATTTCCATCTCTTATAGTTGTTGCTTAATAATGGTGTTTTTTTTTTCGGTTGTTACAAAAGGATTCAAGCAGGCGACTTGGGATTGGGGTAAGTGGAGGTGATGAAATAAAAAAAAAACATGGTTGGTTTAAATTGATTAATTAGAGGAAACTAGAGGGTAGAGAAATAAAGCCAAGTTTTGTTCCACAAGTAGCTGGGAAGCAATGCATTGTGAATTTTGAAGATTGTTGGATAAATTTACCCTTACTTCTGGATTCCCCTGCTGCGAGTCCCAAATTTAAGGAAAACCCATTTAAGGGATTTACTTATGTCAGGCCTGCAAATCCTTTCCTACACAGGACTGAATGATTCTAAAATTTTGTACCAAGTTTTTTAAATGTAATTTTAAGTATCCAATTTATATGGATTATTTTTTTATTGTTAACCTGTTGCATTTATGACAATTTTAATTTACTGATATGCTTGAAAGAAGTGTCTACTGATGAAGCTGTTGAACAAGCTGCTCATTTGAGATCTCAGATGTATATTTTATGGGGGACTTTGCTTTATGAGAGATCTGTTGGTGAATTCAAAATGGATTTGTCAGCATTGGAAAAATCTTTAGCTGCTGTTGTTGAAACATTTGAGCTTGCGGTTTCATCACCAACAGATCTTTCAGTAATTATAAAGAATCATTGCTCAAATGGAACAACTTTTGCAGGTAATTTAGACAAGTTTCAAGTAAATTAAAAAAAATTCCTTGTGCTTTTCTGATTTTTACTATATTTAGTTCAAAGTTGAATGTTTTGTATGAGTGTTTTTCAGGTCTTGGTTTTAAAATTGATGAAATAGTTCAAGCATGGAATGAGATGTATGAGGTTAAAAGATGGCTGACTGGTGTTCCCTCTTTTCGCCTTGAACCACTCTTTAGGTGTCGCGTCTCAAAATTGCATTCTCTCATGGAAGTGGAACATCGTTGAATTGGGATTTCCATTTTTACCCTTGGTGTGATTTAGTCATGTATGGTTAGCTTTATTTTTCATGTGCCAAAAATACCCTTGTCTTAACTATTCATTAAGGTTTTCTTTTATTAATTATTTCTTCCATTTTGTAGGGTAATTTTGACCCCAGAATTAGATGATGATTATTAGTATTTGAAAAAAAAAATGATAACTAGTTAAAACTTGATGAACATTACAAGTAGGAAAAATAACTAGATTGAATTCTTGTTTTAATTGGCTTCATACTTGAATCTAGTTGATAGTTATCAATTTTCCAAATTTGTGATCACCATCCAATTTATTGTATTACAGCGAATCACTATTGTTGGAAGCTCTTTCTTCTTTTAAGGGAGTCATTTAGGAGATTGCTAGTGAAGTTCCATTGTGGGGCAGGGTACTCTACTGCAAAGGTGATGCAATTTATCACCGAGCACTGAAATAGTGGGTGATGCAGATGAGGTAATCCTTTTGACAACCTTCAAAATCCGATTTTGCTGCTCAAGTTGTTGGATTCATGGCAACTTTGTTAGTTGTTGCTCCTGATCAAGCCCATTGGATATTGGAATTAGCTAAGTTTGATTTCAACATTGTTGCCAGACATTTGGTTGCATCTATACCTGGGATTTATTCCCCCAAGCATCCCTACATATCTGATTCCCTTCATTATTTAACTGTAAGTAGTTTGTATATATTTATTTCAGGGTGATTATTGAAGCTTTTGTTGTTGGTATTATCCACCTTTATTGAATCCTTTTTCAATAGGGTTGTTAGAGTGCTAGCCAAAAGTTGAACTCTAATGGTTGCATTATTCAAATTTGTAGGTCTTGTTGATGTGCATTGTGTCAAGCAAAGTAGTTCAGGATGTTGTGAAGTTGGGCAACAAGTTCTTGTAGTTCAACTATTATTTGTTGATGACTTTCATCTCTTTCACATTTGATGTATTACATTTGTTTATTATTGGAATGATTATTTGTATGACATTAACTTTTGTGCAATAAATTGTATTTTTTGTATATGTTATTTTATTTTCTATTATGACATACGAAATGCAAATTTAATTTGAAAATTAGTAAATCTATAAATATATATATTTTTTTAAAAAAAAATTAAAATTACGATACGTAAAAATGTGTGTCATCTTCATTTATGACATGGCCTTTCTTGACAGCGGCTTTAGTGATACGCATTGTGTGTCATAAATGCGCGCCGTAAATGCGCATCGTAATTGCGCGTCGTCTGTAGACGACGTGCAAAAGTGTGTCGTCTCTCATTATGACAGGGCCTTCCTTGACACGCATTTGCGCGTCGTCTGAGCGTTTTACAACACGCATTACGCGTCGTAAAAGGCTGTTTTTCTAGTAGTGAGCCCAATATAAAAGAATGGATGATTTGCACAATCAACCCCATATATTTAATTAGTCTCCTTTTGATCACCAAATTAATTGTAAATTAATTGCTGATCAAAACTAATTAAATAATATTATTAATATATTAGGACTTATAATATTTTAATAAACCATAAGTGTCCTTTCTCTGATTTAGTCTATCCAAGTGTTGCAATGCCATGCAACCCAAAATGCACCATGTAATTGGGTCAAATACATTCCAGAAATAGTTGTGAACTTAGATACCTAATCCAATAGTCTCTCACTTGGATAAGTCTAATAACTATAATTGCAAGAATGACTTCAGGAACCGATCAGTAATCAAAGCTCTTTCAAAGTCTCGTGGAACTGAGATGATGATGATATGCCATTTAAGATAAGTGATCATATAATCTTAAGTTCTAGATATCATCCGGACAAATACATGGAACAGTGTCTTACTTATTGTCTAACAGTTTGTTTCCCGATTTCTGATTTGTTTGACATAGAACTTAATTGAACACATCAATTTAGTTCTGACCGGGTCTAGTAAATTGGTCAACACAAAATCATCGAGGGGCCAGAGATCGCTTCTAATCCAAGAATGAGCAGATAAACTTCGACTCATATTCTTGTTCTACTACTTCTTGAATCATACATAAAGGGACGTTTTATAACATTGAGTTACCAATGCATTTCTGTGCGATCAATGTATAACCAACTCATAGTCAACAACTCATATCACTAGGTTTGAAGGCTCATATGATCTTACCGTCTCACGATCACTCGAGATAAATTCCATGAAGTGATACAAGTGAGCGTGGGTTGAATCCAATACTCAGAACTTATGAGCACTCATGAGTGCTGTAGCAACTCTTGCTATGTCCAACACCTTAGACATCTACAAGCCAACTTCATGACAATATTGATTCATATCTACTTCCAACATATGACCGACTGTGGAGAATTTGAAGACTTATATGATCTTACCGTTTCAGTTTGCATGTTTTGACTTCCAGAATAACTAGGTCATTCTTCCCGAATGACTAAGTTATTCAAACCATCTACAGTCGGTCATATGTTAGAAGTAGATATGAATCAATATTATCATGAAGTTGGATTGTAGATGTCCAAGGTATGGGTCATAGCACAAGTTTCTTCAACATTAATGAGTGCTCATAAGTTCTAAGAATTGGATTCAACCAACGCTCACTGGTATCACTTCATGGAATTTATCTCGAGTGATCATGAGACGGTAATATCATATAAGTCTTCAAGCCTATGATTGTTGCCTATGAGTTGGTTATACATTGATTGTACGAAAACGCATTGGTAACTCGATGTTATAAAACATGCCTTTTTGTATGATTCAACAAGTAGTTGAACAAGAATATGAGTCGAAGTTTATCTGTTCCTTCTTGGATTAGAAGTGATATATGGGCCCCTCGATGATTTTGTGTTGCCCCATGTAACAGGCCCGGTTAGAACTAAGTTGATGTGTTAAATTAGGATCTATGTCAAACAAATCGGAAATCGGGAAACAAACTGCTGGATAATAAGTAAGACATCGTTCCATGTATTTGTCCGGCTGATATCTAGAACAAAAGATTATATGATAACTTATCTTAAATGGTGTATCATCATCATCTCAATTCCAAGAGACCTTGAAAGAGCTACGATTGCTGATCAGTTCCTGAAGTTATTCTTGTAGATATAGTTATTAGACTTATCCAATTGGGAGACCATTAGATTAGGTGTCTAAGTTTATAACTATTTCTGGGATTTACTTGACCCGGTTAGCATGGTCTATTTGGGTTGCATGACATTGCAACACTTGGATAGACTAAATGAGAGAAAGGATACTTAAGGATTATTAATATATTATAAGTTATAATATATTAACAATATTATTTAATTAGTATTGATCAAAGAATTAATTTGGAGTTAATTAAGTGATGAAAAAGAGACTAATTAAATATATGGGGTTGATTGTGTAAATAATCTATTCTTATATAGTGGGCTAATGATCCATGGTTTGTATGGATTGGGCTAAAACCTATAAGGTGTTCCATGGATAATCCATGGAGGTTACAAACCCATGGATCATGGAATATGAAAAGCCATGTGTAACAGCCCAGATTCCCATGTATTATCCATTCTTATATTTTTGGTATTTTGTGAGGAGACTCGACGAGTTGGAGCTCAAACTCGCCGAGTAGGATCGCGATTTGGGCGAGGGTTCGCGTCTGGACTCGGCAAGTCCAAGGAGTGGACTCAGCGAGTCCATGTTGTTTAATGAAACCCTAATTCTCCGGGTTTGGAGCCTATTTAAGGGCACTTATAGCCTCCCATTGCGGCTACCAGTCCCTTGAGAGAACCCTAAGAGAGCTAATTTGTTTTGGGAGAGAGGAAGTCACTTTTGGGGCTTTGTATTCTTTGTTTAGAAAGAGGAAGGTGGAAAGAGCAAGGAAGAGGTGAGCTTCCAGCAGATCCAGAGTCTAGAGGCTTCATTTTGAGGTAACGGCTCGAATCTCATTCAGTTATAGGGTTGATCTTTAGAGTTAGGGTTTTATAACCCCTTTGGAGAGTGATTATGTGAAGCAAATGGTCCCTCTTCGAGTTTGTGCCTTGGATCTGGACTCAAAGAGGTCCAGAGACCTTAACCATTGGAGCTTTTTGGGTTATTATGGAGTCATTGGACCTAGGTGGTTATTTTTGGGACCAAATCACCTTTCGATGCCTTGTGGGGGTTATACAAGCATTAAGTTTCGAACTTTACGTGACATTCATGCTTGGGAAGGCCAGATCTAAGGTTTGGGAAAGCAGATCTAACCTCAGAAGGTCAATAAAAGTGTGTGCATGGCATGAACTCGCCGAGTTGTTCTTGGGACTCGGCGAGTAGGGTTGGGGTTTCACGTAAGGTGTTCAGCGAGTGGACTCGCCGGGTTGGGGAATAACCCAGTGAGTCAGGGAGAGTCAATATGGGGTTGAGTCAAGCCGGAACTCGTCGAGTTATTCTTGAGACTCGGCGAGTTGAGTCGTGTTTGCCCTGCGATTCATGCCAAGTGGAACTCATCGAGATATGGGAGTGCTCGACGTTCCAAGAAAACATCCGAGGGAGTCAGTGAACGCATAAAGACTCGCCGAGTTGCTTTGGTGCACTCGCCGAGTCCGGTCAAAGTTGACCGTTGACCAGTGTTGACTTGATAGGGTTAGTCAACCTTAGTTGTAAAAGTGTTAATTAGAGATATATTGTATTATAGGAAGATTATAGTTCGGGGGATCGAGCACGAGTGATTCCAGGGATTTGCGACTTATCGAGACACACGAGGTGAGTCTTCTCACTATAATTTACCTTGAGTAGGTAACTAGAGTTATGTGATACAGTGCTTGTATGCTATATATGTGTTATGTGTTGCGCTGCATTATTCTATGTGATTTATGTTGTGCATGTTTACAGAGTTAGAACTTGAGGGTTCATAGAGTTTGGGTGCACGGACCCACAGAGTTATAGCCTCGAGTGGCTAATATGTGTTATATGTAGTATTTTGGGGAACTCACTAAGATTTATGCTTACAGTGTTTGGTGTTATTTGTTTCAGGTACTAGTGACGACCGTGGGAAGGTGCCGACTTGATCAGTACACACACTCGGGATTTTATGTTATGAGATCTTGGGATTTTTGTATGACAAATTGTATTTCAAACATGGGTGTTTTTACGAATATTAAATGAATTATGTTTTTTATAAAATGCGAAAAATTGTTTTGTAATTTACGGTGTTACACCATGACAATAAGGGTTGACATGTTGTAACCCTACTTGTGCCACAACTATATAAGAAGCCCCAAGGCAAGCAAAATCGGCGACCAAGTGAAGAACAAGAGGGTAATCCTATTTTGAGGTTAAGTGAACTTCTCTAAAGTCTATTCCAAGAGTTGTAGGGTTGTGTGACAGTGTGAGACATTTGAGGCATCACACTTGAGGTGCTAGGCTCACAAGGTTCTCAAGGAATCCAAACTACAAAAAGGTATGTTCTTCTTCTAGAATTTATGTTTAAAAGTTCCCCGTGGTATGCTAGATAGGTTAAGAACCTTGGAAAATCAAATTTCCATGTATCATAGTAAAACATAGATCTAAGGTTTCTAGGGTTGCATGTACACCTTAGGAGTGTTAGAATGCTCAAAACCCTTCATTTT